GACAATATTGGTTTTTATTTTTCTGCTCATTTTTTTGCACATTTTTCACTAGGAAAAAATTTTTTCAATTACAGTGAAATTAAATTGAGCGGGAGAATAAAAGAATACTATTGATCAGGATGAACGTTGACCTGGATGAGTACAGTACGTCTTCTACGGTTGACGTGTGGAACACGGTTGCTGTAGAGTATGAACTTGTCCATGACGTGCGTGGTCGCTTGAAACAATAGGGCCCCCCCATGGTCAAACAATGCCTATGGATGACTGTTCATGATATCATATTGAGATAACGGCAATTGATTCAAGTCAATCCCAACTAATGATACCTCTCCATTGATTCTGAGTTGATTGATTAATGATTGTAGAATAACGATAGGATGGAGTAGCTAGGGCTTGCAAATGATGGTGTTAAAAGGTAGCAAAAGAAAGTCAATGTTTATCCTTAGAAGCATCAGCTTTGCCATTTTTTGGAAACGATGCTCTAACTGCAAGTGTATAGGATACCTTAATTGACCGTATGATGACACAGGCTAATTTACAATTTAATTGAACCAAACGATTATCTATCCTTATCGACAAGCTCATTGATCTTTGTGTGATAGTCGATGGAAAGAAATAACAACAAAAAAAATATCCATTACAGTGGTCATGTTCAATAGATCAATGATTAACAGTCAATCTTGCTATTTTTTTTTATTCCATTATCCTATTTAATAGAAAGCACAAATTCTACTATGCTAGTCATAAGATCGTTAAAATGCGGTTAGCAGGAGTACCATCAGTAAAAAGAATTGAATTGACAACAATTCAAAAAACTGGCACATCTACAAAACTAATCATTATCGTCTCCATTTTCTCTCCATTGATGATGATCGTTGTTGCAATCTTGACAGTATTCTACAGTATCGTGGCATAACTGCTAGTGTTGTGCTTGAATTTGATCTTCAATAACTTACGTTCCATTACCAACTGTTCAAATTACAATCTTTTCTTATTATAATATATATTTTGTATCTTTGATCATCACTTCCTCTCTTTTATCATATAATACGGAAGAGAAAAGCAAAAATACAATGAGACCTGATGTATGTCAATTGAAAACAATTTATACTGATAACATTTTTTTTGTCAATGCCATGCGATGGAATGGAAAACGTCTATTTTAATGACTAGTATCATCTTTGATCAAGATGTTTTCATTTGATATCATTTATATCCAATTTATTCAATTTAGATATTTATTTTTTTTTTGCTTTTTCAAAATGGATAGATAGGATTATGACTTGATAGCCTACCCAATTTAGGATCAATGAGAAGATTACTTTTTTTCCCGTCTCTCTCTTTCTTAGCCATTATCCACTCCATGGACGCGTATATGGATTCTTGCTGTTTTTTGATAGGTAGCCCATTTAATAAAGAAAGACAATAGCCCGCTCATCAAACTGAAATTTTTTTCTTTTTTTCCTGCCTCCGCTATTAGCATAGAAGAGTAGTATTGCCAACTGGTGGAGAGTACAATAACTTTGAATCCAATCGTATTCTGTAATAGAACGATTGACGATGAATAATTAGTTATCTGCTCAAAGGTGCTTATTCTTTTCATCGCTCTCTCCATCTTGACTTTCTTTGCTACCGGTACTACTTTTGCCCACCCTCTACTTATCATAATGACAATCGAAACAGGAGTAGGTACTGTATTGATTACAATAATAATCATTCTATCCTTATTGTTCTCTCTGTTGCGGTAATCGACCCGCCATTACAGGATCTCCCCCCCCCCCCTTCTTTCTATCCCGATGTTGGTCGATAAATGGTGTGAACCTTTGATGCTTACTCAATAGAGAAGAATGGAAGAGGCGGAGTTTGATGATTGCATCGAATTAAAGTATTTACTATAAAAACTGACAGCAAGTTGCATTGCAGAACAGTTGCTACACCTAGTAGGTCAACAACAGCGTTAGTTAGCTAGCAAGAAAGGAAAGGCCAATTAGCAAAACGAAATAACTTGTAGTCTACAACGACAGTCAAGGAAATTGCATTGCAGATAGTTCCCTCGCTGTGTGAAAAAACAGAATCAAAAAGAAACTATTCACAAGTAAGTCATTGATTGTCATCGATTAGCTCGCTATCGACTTGATCATCTGCCAACAGTCGATCCATGGCTATAGCATACGATCATCTTTGATGATCATTAAAAACGATAAGGGGAAAGAAATAAATTAATCTCCCCCAAAAATATACATCGATCGACACAGCTAGAGGACCATCATTTGCATGTTGATATTCACGCTATTTAGTGAGTTTTGGAAATTGTAGAATCAATGTTGTTGTTATCTTGTTGTGTATATAGAGATAGAGAGAGTAAAATAGATATTATTTATACATAGAGAGAGAGAGAGTGAGTTATTGTAGACAGAGAGGTATAGACAACGTGTTAGAATTATTCTGTGTTGATAAGTACATAACCGTATCGATGTTGATAAAGAAAGTGTTTCTAAATAGGAAGAAAGTTTATCTTGTCTTATCACTTGATCATGATCGATAAGCTAAGTCCTATCCAATTATCATCATTATCCTTCCATCGACATAGTCATCATGATGATTTTGACCAGATAAAAATCCTTCATCAATTTATCGCCAACATCTGCCCCTAAGTGATGCCCAGGTGAAATAGTGGATCAGTTGAATCAATTTTTCTCTCTCTTACACACACTTCTTTCCTATTGAAATATTGACCGAGCAGAGACCTATCTATCCCTACTTTCCTTAGTATCATCATTAATTGGTGTCTTTTGTTTTTCAATCATGCATATTACATCTGCAATTTTATTCACTAGCCTAAAGAACAAGATAAGGTAAAAAAAATCGAAAAAAAAAAGAATAGAAATTAAAATTAGTCTACCCTTCATCATATCCCTCCTTAGTATAACTTTCTATCCATCGACAACATAGGATACACACGTTGTAATAGCACACTAGTTGTAGTAGTCTTGCCCAAACTCTCCAATTTGAAAGAATAGAGTTTGATTTACCGCCTCCTTTCTCTTGATAAATGTAACCACGTCGTGTTAAAAAGAAATATTTGGACATGAAAAATGCGACTTGTTTTTTTATCCCTATTTTAACGATGTGTGCTTTACCCTTGAATTGTACACACAAGCTATTAGAGATAGGCAAACTTTTGCTCAATTTATAACAAACTTTAACTCATCTATTTTGTTATAATATTGATTTTATATCTTACTCGACTTTGATTATTCATATCACTTGCAACCTATTTAAAAAAATACATACATAGAAACGATAATTAAAATGATATCAATTGCATTAGACAAGCAATCATATTAAATAAGTAAGCATATTGGTCAAGTAATCATAAATTAAAGCTAAAATAAACCTATTAAAAAAATATTGGACTTATCTATCTATTATACATAACAATTTAATCATCTTTTTTTATTTTATTTTCAATTTTGGAAGGACTACCTTTGCACCCTTAACTCGATCGATCATCATTTCTGTTTAATTTTTCAACTGATTTTTTTCCCCGTCATTTTTTTTGTATTTTCCCCGGAAAATAGCTTGAAATTTTTCATACAGTTGACCATATGATAACTAAAAATAATGATCGAGAGAATATGTTTGACAATTATTCTTTGTAACAGTAAAACGAAAAAAGGAGATCGATATAAAAATATTGATTCTAATTTTTTAAGTCATCTTAGACTGCCTCAATATCGACACCATTATTATGTTGTAATATATCAATCTCCCATATTAGGATTAACTTATCATTGATTTTGATATTCATAATGCGATAGCATGCCATTGAGCCATCTTAACCTGTTCTATGGTCTGATATATAACAGTAATGAAGAAACTGCTCTATACATTAATGTAGATAAAAAAAAATATTAGTAGATAAATAACTAGAGTAAATGATAGTAGATGGATAAATAACATAATATGGCAGAGAAAAGTGTTATCAAAGCAATAGATAAAGAAGAAATAATCAATTGAGATAAATGGACATCACCGGATCTAAACTAATATTATTTTTGTTGATCTTGTTCTTTCTTTTACTCCAATTTTTCACAATGAAGTTTTTATTCTGTATTAGTATAACAGTAAAGACTTTATTTTCTCATACATTTTATTAGGCCGACTAAATTACATCCAAGAAGTAAATAGTTACTGTTCAAGGGAGGAAATGATTTATTTTACTGTATATTATTAGTAGCATAGTAGTAAGCGCTATTTATGACAGTGAGGCATTCTTTAAAAGTGTTAAACTTCCACTTTAATTTCTTTTTTCTCTCTCTCGATAAAATAACCTAATAAGCGTCCACTATTTTAAATTCATAAATAATATCCTTATCTCTACACTAAAGGTTTACCATATCCGCTTTAAGGAAGGAAAAAAATTTTTATTTTAAAAAGAGAGAGTTGATTCAGCGAGACCAAACCAAAGTAGAAAAAAAGAAATCAACTTATTTGCAGATATCAAAAGATAAAAAAATATAGTAGTCAAAGCATCAATAGAAAAGGAGGTAAATAACAATCATATTAGATTTCGATTAGTCTGCAACTGTTAGTATTATTGCTTACATAAAGATCACATCAAGTTGTGTTGAAATGAAAAGGATTAACAAATAATTTAACAACTTTTTTTTTCTCTCAACAGTAAGTGATCATTTCAATATTAGCTATAGAGCACATAATAGCTAATCAATAGTCTAGTAACATTGATAATCGAATACAAGAATTTGATTACAAGAAGAAAAAGTACACCTAGTATAAAGTAATCCAAAGGCAACGCTCCAAACTATTTCAAAACGGAATTTCTAAATATGATCGATGAGAAAATGAACGCAACAGCTGGAGGAAATGCAAATACTAATAGTAAATCAGTTGTATCTGGCGTCGAACACGGAGGTAATCCAAATGCTCCCGCTGGTGTCGTGATGGGTGATCCAAATGCTAACGGCAATGGTACCATGATGGGCAAAGGTAGTGGTAATAAAACTGGCAATAAAGATAAAACTTCACGACGTAACGCAAGTGGTAATAGCAATCAATATGCTAAACCCCCTTATTCCTATATATCATTAATCACCATGGCAATCCAACAATCCCCTAATAAAATGATGACATTAAGTGATATCTATCAATTTATTATGGATTTATTCCCTTTTTATCGACAAAATCAACAACGTTGGCAAAATTCAATTCGCCATAGCTTATCCTTTAATGATTGCTTTGTTAAAGTGCCACGTTCACCGGATAAACCAGGTAAAGGTAATTACTGGACACTCCATCCTGATTCGGGTAATATGTTCGAAAATGGTTGCTATTTAAGACGTCAAAAAAGATTTAAAATTGATAAGAATAAAAGTGGTGGACCTTTAGTTTCCAATGATATCTTGAAAAATAGTTTAGGCCAGCAACAACAAGTACCCAACTCACAACAGCATAAACCACCCAATGTGAACATAGGATTAAGTATGCCACGTTCTCAACATAATGCTATCCTACCGCAACCACAACCACAATACCCAACTTATCCATCGCAAAATCCAGCCGCAGGTGGTGGCCCAACTTCAATGCATCCTTATAAACCAGCTCATGGATTTAATCATCCATTTGCTATCCGTAATATTATACCTAATCATGATGGCGAAGCAATTCACTTACCATATCATACACCACAAGGGACAACAGCCGGCCATTATAATATCAATCATTCAGCACAAGGCATGCAACCACCATTAGGGGGGCCTTCACAATTTGCTATGTCTAAATCATCAGGTTATATGGATCAATCATCAGTGGTAACAAGTGAGGCAGCAGTAGCCGCTGTTAACGCACCTTATTATCCAATGTTTTCATCACAAAATTTCATGAATCCAACATCATCTGGCCAAATGTCTGATCATTTGGGAATAACTGGCTTTAATGCTGGCGCTGGTTTCAATTCTGCTCCAGGCAGCATGAATTCAGCAACTTCCGCATTTGGTATCGGTGGTAGTAATTTAAATAGTAATTTTATGACCGGTAATAATTTCTCTACAGGAAATAACTAATCCCACCATATTGCATATCCACTTCAATAATATCTACCGTATTGGTTATTGTATCCCTACTGTTGATAGGATATGCAGCTTATAATAATAATATTGAGATTATACGGTAATTCCTATTTAGAACAAGAAATTACGCCTGATTATAATATTAACATGATAACTTTTATTTTAAAGTATGATGGTAGTTTTAGATACAGATTTTAAGATTAAAAGCTACAAAAAACGATACAATCATAACATGGATTTTAAGATATAGACAATTATCCGCTATAGAAATCGGAAATATCATTTTTACCATCAAGCGGATAGATATAGCCGATTTTGTCTTAGTTACTATGATTCAATTTCTCTTGCGTAATTACCATAAATGCAAATGGTATTTATATAGTGAGATGTAAACTTTTAATGCAAGGCATCATGTAGGAATTGATAATATGCATATAAAAGAGACGGTTTCGCTTAAATTTTCAGTCAATGAAAGCACTCATGGATTTAGTTATCAGCATTGAAAATAGACACAATGATTCATATTTTGATTTCTCAATATCAAACCTATCAATAATAATCAAAACAAAGGTCTTAATCAGCGATAGAAACGTATACCCGATGATTTTATCAACATAAATATTTTAATGCAAAGACATAATCAGCTAATACAAACATCGATGCGGTAATTTCGCTTGCTTTTTAAAAGATTACAGAAATCAGCATTTAGATTCGATGAACAACCTACAAGTATGGCAATTTATACTATTGACACTTGCAAGATAAAGGCTACCGATAATGCGATAGAAACATTTTTCGAGTTCAAGGGAAGAATCATGATGACGAGAAATTAAGCACGAACCTAGGAGAATTATTTCTCTATTTTTATACTTGCGCTGTTCACTAAGTTATTATAGTCAAGAAGTTATCTAGGACAATATCACTTCAAGATCTAACGCGGATTTCTATTAATATGGCTGAAGATACTTTAGTCAACTAGATCTGAGTAATTAATCATGATTCATAGCATATTGCATATGTATTTCAAAGATTTTATCGAACGCAAGCCATAAGCAAGATTCGATTCTGTTTTTTTCTACAAGATTACATCATTAGGAAAGAATAAGCGAACTTTCAGGAGTAGAATATACATGTGGGGCTCAATATTTATTCTATACAAAATGGCACAGTTATCGATCTCCATAACAATAGGCAATCAACAAAGACTCGTATACCTTTCTATAATATCTATATTATACCAATTTCAATGGAATTAAATGGATAATTATAGAAGATTATGATTTGCTAATTAGATCACTTCTCATAAGCGAATAGAATATGATTGCAAACTCGTAACACTGATATCATCCATTTATAGCGATTTTAATGCCTTAAAATGAAGTGGAATGGGTCTGGCAGACTGATCGAACCTTCAAGTTATTATGACTTTAAAATTATAATTTTATTGTTATTCGTGCTTCAAAGACGAAGAATTTCATTTATTTAGTATGCAAGTCATAGATTCGTCCATGGTCATGAAGATATATATTGCCTGGAAATAAGTTGATCCTCATCTACACTGAACTATATCTTTCCTTTACCCGCTTCTCAGTATGTATCGATGGAAATTTTTGCTGCTGGCTCCCCATCTTTATTTATAATTTTCTCAATAAAGTTCACACCATCCGTTATAAGCATCCTATCCTATATAAATTGACAAATTATCTGAAATAATTCTGAAGTGAAGCCATACAATACATCACTGGCGACAACCGATTACTACTATGCGATACGCTCTACCCTATATCCATCTAAGCTGGTATCTAATGATAATTATACAAAATTATTTAAGAATGATAAGCACTCGGTCTAAAATTTCACTTTTCAAACACAGACTATCGAAGAATACGTCATCAAGTATCGTATTTATTATCCTAACGATAACTTGAACCTCCTATCGAGATGTATTATAATAACTGGAATTACATTGCCCAACAATGGAATTCGATGTGTGTTCATCTTTGTGCAGGATAATATCACACTGCAACCAGGTACGCCAGGGCTAAATATCGTCATTACTCCAAATTTTTAAGTGAGAAGCTATAACGAATTGCCTAATAGTAACGCTAATTAAGATTCGAAAGAAAGCCGCGGATGTTCCTATTTAAAGTCGTTTTCCCGTATTATTTTGTTAATTCATAGTATGGACATATAGGTATTACAGATAAAATGATAGAAATCACGTAATAATAAAAATCGATTTTTGTCCACCTTTACCTATTCAAAAATCTTTACATATTGATTTTTTAAGATCTTCAATTCTTTACTTGTCATGATTTACTTAATATACTTACATAGATGTAATAGATGAACGTTTTATTCGCCGATTTTTACCGGAAATTTATAACCAATATATATATATATATAGTTACAAATTCGTATATCCTCATTCCTCATTTTACCAACTTCTTTCCGTCTTCTATACATCTCTCATTCCTTCTCAATACATGTGTCTCTACCTCACTATTATACCATTGGAATGATATCATATCAGAATCAATTTTTACTTCTGTTAGCTATAGGATATTATTTTACGTAATAGTTAATAGATAAAGGTAATTTACAAGACGATCAATTTTCTGCTTTTATTTCATGTATCACTACGTATTATATATATATATATATAAGATTGCAGTCATAGACATAGAAAATTTGCTTTTTATTGTTATCTGTGGTCAGAACAATCATCTTAAAAACCTGACACTGTTGCCACGCAACTACTTGCTTTGGATCTCAATTGCCCAATAGTATCGTAATGATTTATTGGACAACCAATTTAGCCAAATATTACATTGTGTTTTTCTTAACTACAGCAGAAAATTAATAGGAAATATCATCGACTCTAATGAATAAGCATTATCATATTAAGCAGCATTTAATATCATATCAACATAATATTTCTAAATAATTTGTTGCTATTCTCACACTTTCGATTTCGAATAGATGAAATATGGTATGATTGATTAGATCACTACTGATTCTAGGGATATTATTAGATCACAACTTTGTATTTGTAGATGATCTGATGATCAAAGAAAAAGCTACTGCTGGCTCAAAAATCAAGTAGATCTGTTAAATAACATAACAGAAATGAGTATTATATGTCCATGATTTTTTCCCAAAAAACTTAACTTGAAGATGACTTGTACCCGAGATTTATAATTTTGTTATCCATTATCATCATCAATCATATAAATAAAAATATAGTTAACACCATTTCTTGTTTTAGCCACTGTATTAGTGCTATCTTGCTACTTTAAAGACTCCAGATAAAAGTATTATACAAGCTACCCCTTTCGATACTCTTAAATAACTCTATACTCTAGAGTATGATATATCATGTTAAACTTCCACTGCAATGACTACTCTATCAGCATGAAATTATGTCCAATACGCATACTAACAATGTACCTGAACAATATTTTCCCTCTATCCATTGATATCAATAAAATCAAATACTATTTCAGAATCATATGGTAGTTGTTAATATTGTTAATATTTTCATATACAAAGTCTCATCTATATTGCAGAATCAATTTAATTATCTAACTTATATGCAATTATACAGTCCATTTGACTTTTAGGTAATAATTTTAACTCGTAATATATTACCTCAGACGATACGCTATCTAATATTTTTAGTTCTAGATCAATTTTAAATTTACTATTTTGCTGTGATTTCAGTGGATCAATAACTGCGATGTTGTTTTCAAAATTGTCGCACAATTGTTGACAATCATTTATAGACATCAGCTATTGTTTATTATATAAATAAGTGTTGAACCTCACGTCGATACTTATTCCAAAACTATGGACTGGGCTATCAAGAAAATAGTAGGCTTTTCGTAAAATTCACGTTATCAAAAGTTACGAAAATATTGTTAAAAACGCAATCATTACCTTTTCTACCGCTTAACACGATAATTCTTGCATATACTCTGTAAAAATATGTATAAAGATCAAAATTTTATTTTATTTATTCCTTCATCACACTGTAATAATGCATGATAACTAAATAGATTAGTAATAATGGCTATTGATTTAGCGCTATTGAATTTATTGATTTTGTTTTAAAAACCCAAAATTGCGTTATAGAAATGATAAGAAATACTTCTTATAAGTTTTGTATCGTACATATGTTTAAGATTAAGATGCAATCAAAGAACTAAAATTTAGGAGTTACCAGTAATAGAGAATAGATTAATTACGACTTTAGTTAGGACTAGATCGCTAGCTTAATTTACAAAAGT